AACCCATGACCGCTAGAGGCAGATGCCAACTAGCCGACAGCTTAAGCCACTGAGCCATGGGGCACGTCGGATGGGCTACATAATTTGCAAACTAGCTGGGATATACCACCACCTATCTACCACTGTCACGGACGGTGGTTAGCCTGCAAGCTGATGACGTCCTCTCACTAGACGCTATACCTATAGCATTTTGAAACTAGGAGAGGCATTTGATTTTATAGTACTCATAAGTAGCAGGATTTTAGTTGCAGGCTAACCACCGTCCGTGACAGTGGTAGATAGGTGGTGCTATATCCCAGCTAGTTTGCAAATTATGTAGCCCAGCCGACGTCCCCCATGGCTCAGTGGCTTAAGCTGCTGGCTAGTTGGCATCTGCCTCTAGCGGTCATGGGTTCGATCCTCATAGAGGACCGAGGGAATGCGCGCCACTGACGAGCCCCAATAGGGCGAAACGCGTCTGGCGCTTTTCCGGACTAGGCTCTGCTATGTAGCTTGTGAACTGTTGGGATGAAAGCCTTATCAAATTTACAACTGAAAATTTGATGAAGTGTAGTAGCGGTTGCTGAAGCAGTGGCTGATGGCATCTGCAGAACCTCTGGCTATTTACAGTAGGCGTCAATCATGATAAGCAAATTGTTTCCATTAACAGATCCTGCATAATCTGAATACAGCTTTGAGCTTGGTTACCCAGGATCCCAACAACAATGGAGCTACACCATCCTTGGCGATCTCGAAGCAAGTGCGCATCTGGAGCAACAGCAGGCAAGGTTCTCGAGTTGAGCAACAAGATGAGACTAGTACACGTAGCTCCTGACCAATGCCTATATACGGTTCACCCCCGGGCGTCCGGTGTGCATCTACATCAGTACCCTAAGATGAAGTGCCTTTGAAAGCACCACACGTTCTGTGAAGAGTAGACAGCCATCGACAATCGACTGGGAGTAGCGACGTTGATGAAAATGCCTCAGTTAATTATTTTCGATCTTTCGTGGCCATTTCGATCTGTGGAAGCAGAACACTTGCTGGAGCAGGGAGGTCACATGCTGTGGTAACACATATCTAAGAAGCTGTTACTGAGATGGCTCTGACTGATTCTGTGACAACGCAACGAACTTCAGGCTCGGTCGAGATGATGGCTACTACAACGTCCTCTGGCTCTTGTCGATCTTTCTCAATGAGACAAAACAAAGCATCGATCTCTCCATTGTTCCCAGTATATTGGTACTTGATTGCCAAATCGTATTTCAAAAGCATTGTGCCTCACCTCTAAGAGGGATTTGCTGTGCACGATAATGCCCTACTTGGAACCGAACACAACAAGTAGGGGCTTATGATCTGTGACCAGAGTAAAATGACGGCCATAAAGCATTTTGTGAAATTTCTTAATGACGTAGATGAGTGTCAATGCTTCTCTCTCAATTTGGCTGTAGTTGCATTCTGCGGGTGTCAACAACCGAATGCCATGAGTAATTGCCTTCTCAGTTCTGTCAGGAAAGCGGTGAGATACAACCGTGCCGATTCCGTAATTAGATGCATCTGTAGCAACAATGTCCGAATTTGGATCATAATGGCTCAACAGCAGGTCTGAGGATAGCATGGATTTGATCATGTCGAAAGATTGATTACATTCCGTGCCCAACACCACTTGGAATCCTTAACAAGTAACGCACTCAGTGGGCTCCGTATATCAACAACAAAAACAACAATAAAAACAACAGTACATCAGCCATTTCAACTGATGCTTCGCTGCCATACAACCATGAGGACCTACGAAATAAAGAATAAGAAGAGGGAGAGAAACGGGGACTTAACTTAAAACCTTAATGCCCTAAGCAAACATTCAGGGTCAAGGCGCCTACATCTTGTGTAGACAACATACCGTCACAAACAGCTGGCTATCGTGTAGAGATAAGGCTCCGTATATCATGCATTGCTAATAAAAATGCACTGCAATGACACCCATCACAAGAAAAATCATAGCGTCACCACATCATGTGATGGAGGCAATTCTGGATGGCCTCAATATTAACGGGGTCTGGTTTTCAACCGCGTTGATCAATTATGAGTCTTAAGTCTTTTACCAGATCTATGTAGAAAAAAGTTTTTTCTCTTGCGAAAACCATAATCCTGGATTCGTTAAGCACGTTTTCAATTCGGTTTTCCAGATCCACCAGATCAATGCCTATGATGATAATAACCTCAAGATGTAACATGGTGTCAATGATCTGCTGAAAAATGGCAGGTGCTGTTTTCACCCCAAATGGTAGGCGAGTGCACCGAAACAGACCGCGGTGAGTATCCATGGCCAGCAACTTCAGAGAATCTTCATAAACCCCGTTGAAAGTATACATCGGACAGGTCATTTGGTGAAACATTTACCACCATTAAGCATTATGTGCAACTTCAGTAGTCTCATCTAACATCTGACATCAGGGCCCGAGGATATGTTCAAAGGAACGGCCGAGGGAGCACGGTGATCGATGACTGCCAAGGAAGCTGGAAATTCTGGAAAATTCAACTGCTGTTCAAAATGATTGGTCTAATGCTTCCTGTTTTGACAGGTCGGCTATAATCTGCCCCTAACGTAAGGACTCCTGCTGGTCGCTTTTCGCATGAGGTGAAATAAATTGTGGTAATTAGCAAGAGAAACCTAGGTTTCAGTCTAAGCTACACGATGAAACAACTGGGCTCTCCGGTTTCCATGCGAGCTAGCATGCAATTTGGAACTGAGATCATTACAAGTCTCGTAGTCTTCGCTCCCAGTTGGAACGCGTCGGCCAGCATATCGAAATTTCACAGACTGTGCAAAATCTCATTTCTCAGACTGATAACTTCATCTGGCACACGAAGGCATATAGCTGCTGCCAATAACTGGTGAACACAAGACCACCCCCCAGATACCAAAGTATTTGAATACGCATTCAGAACATCTGACTTCGCCAGACAACAAGTGTCTATGTAATCACAGTGTTGTCGTTTACATCCACGGAAACGCACTCGAAAATTGGCCCATAAACATGCAAGGTCGGAGTCCATGCTTCACATCGAGCAGCAAGATTCCGACAGAGCCTCTCCAACGTTAACTGAACGCGATGTTACTAAATTTGAGCACGTGGCTGATCCGAGGTTGGTGGGCGTCATGTAACCTTGCGGTGAGTGCTGTGACGGAACAGTGCTCGCAAGTAATAAACGAGCAACGGCACACAAATGCAGTAACCATTCAGTGTTGTGTGTGGGAGCCACCCAAATGGAGTTCGCCATTGGACGCTTTTCTAAGTTGGACGTTTAGGCCGTCTGCCAGAACCACAGCATCTGTACTTCATCTATGGAGAAGTAGCCCGTTCAATTGACGATAGAAGTCATTCTTCATGAAGCCATTGTGGAGGTGTAGACCGAAATGATAAGGAGACATCTAATGTCCCTGTGCTTTGAAGGATACTGCCAGTCAGCAGCTGTTTGGAATACTATTGACCAGGTCAGCTTCAGCCCACAGCTCAGAGTAATACCCACACCGGTTTGACCCACATTCGAAACAACCTTATCCCCGAGAAGACGCAATGAGAAATTTTCGCCGGCATCACCTGAAGAGGATCGTAGTGAGTGCGGAGCTCGTGTTGCATGCTGGTTTCTGATGAGCAGCAGATAATGGTTGATGGGATCACTAAGGTTAGGGTAAATGTTGACTGTTGACCGATATGTCATCATCAACATCAGTATAGGCGTTAGCAAGAGGTGGAAAACACTTCAGATGTTGTGACCGATCTGCAACAAAGTACGTACCTTGAAACATGTTAGTTGTAATGATAAACGAGAAATGTAAATAGAATTGGGTAGACCACGAGTTTCCGCTTGGTTGGGCATGAAGTTGTTCACATGGCAAGAGACCCGGCGTTTGCATGTGAGTCGAAGCGCCATCAAAACATGATGGGGGGGGGGGGTTAAAAATTGTAACGACAGAGATGAGGAATCGTAGAAAAGGGGATAAGAAAATGGGAAGCTTCTAGAAACAGTACCATCTATCCACGCCACTGGATGTAGCAGGTAGGAAGTTGTCGGCCGGTAGCCGAGTGGTCTGCACACCTGGTATGCAATCAAAAGGTCGTCGGTTCGAATCCGCGTAGGGGCGGGCGTCTTCGCGGCATACTCAGCCCACGCGCGACTGGTGGTGGTCGCGTCGCGCGACAGCAAACCGCCGTTACGGCGTACAGCTGACACATTATTTTTTGTGCATTATCCTGTACAACAGCAAGAGAATCAAGGTTGAAGACAAAGGAATAACTAAGAAAAGAGTGGAGTCAGACTTAACTACTACTACCAACACGACCAATACTACTATTACCACCGCACTCAACTCAATAGTCTATCTCGGGGAATAATTCGTGTTTTATTTCCGCAACCATCCGTTTGATTCCTTGTTTCTTTTGCAGGACCGCATCGGTGGTTAATGCACGGACTAGTCCCCTTCCGTAGGGAGTGGATGATGAGTGGTTAATTATCGGGAATAAAGGAATTAAGCTACACCTTCCTGTGAGAGCCTCGATTGCACGACTGCGTTCAATGACGCTATAAACTGCGTTTAGATGACGTTTATTGCTCCCTATTGCTCTGTGCAGTTCTGGTCTGAGTGGACAGTTCCTCTATTGAAATTTTTGTACCAGCTTTATAATTCGCAACATTTGTCGATTTCATGGTGACCAGTCTGTTGTAAGTGCGTGTAACTATTGATTACGCCTCTTCAAACTTGTCTCACGGAAAATTGAGAATAAATTATTATTATTATTACCATTAGTACAGCCAAGTATTGTTTCGGATTTCAGATAGCTATAAGGTTGTGACGGTGAGTTACTTCTAACCATTCAGGGCGCCATTACAGCTGCCAATTTGCTGCCAGAAACGCATGCCTTGCAAAAGTTTGCGGATATGCAAAGATGCTGGTCTACGTGACCAAAATAAACCGTCCATATCATGTGCAGAAATAAATGGCTAAGCTAAGGACATACCGATTTCCCTGGTAATTTTGATGCGATAGAAAGTTCCAGTCTGCCTCGTTTTTCGCGCCAAACGATGTGGTGGCGAACCGACAGGGGTAGGGCAAGTGAGCTACACGGAAGCATAAATCAAAATGTGTCAAAAGAGTAATAAAACTTTCGTAGATAGTGGACTGCATTGCAATTCAGGTATTTATTCAGGCAAGTGGCAGATGTTCGTCTGTACTAGGTGATTCCGGTAACTGTGATGAAAATTTCCACGACGGGACAGGAGGACGCGCAGTAAGCTGGTGTCTTTTTGGGCGTTTTATAGCTGTGGAAGTGATACGTCTAGGAGATATTTAACGACGAAAAGTTCAATAAACATAACGGTCAGTAGTAATTAGATTTAGATTTGTGATATGAGGCATAATGAGTATACGACGCAGCGAAGCCATGTTGGATCGGGTAGTGAATGTTTTCACGCTTTAGAAATGTCAACTGGCGGACTAAACTGACTGAAGTACTAGAAAATCAAGTCGGAACATTCTAATGACTTAGTCACAGGCATGTTAGGATAGCTAAGATGATGTTAGAAAAAACCTGCGAAACGGTGGAAAGAGGTGTCCTATAGCGGTATATGGAGATTCTGCAGAAACTGCCTATGAGAACGGCAACAAAATTCGTTTGAAGTTGCGAAAAAAAGTAATAAAAAGAGTGAAGCTTCAATTAGGAACGGCAGCGAATACAACTGCGACAGCAGCAATGTATAATAATGGTTTGAAGACGAGGTGAAATTTACAAGATCCGGATTGGCATTCCGCATTGACGGTAGACAGTAGGGTAAGATTATGCTGTACCCAAAGAGAGACTATAAAAAAGCGAATCACCACACTAGATACATTTTGAACATACTTAAAAGAGGTGGTACGATAGTCCATCAGGCGAAAACGACCATCGGGTGGAATGAACGACAAGATTCCCTCCTTGGTCCATCGCAGTAACCGAACACAAGGGTGCACACTGGCATCTTCGATGATACGATGATTAGAAAAAATCAGAGTCAAATCCGGCATTCCTGTCAGTTTCGCCAAGCACTCGATCTGATGTGGTGATTGGGGAAAGCAGAAACGTGCATGAGAGCGGGAATGAAAGCCCCAATGGATGGTCACAACAATGTTGACTCCATAGGTGAATGATGTGTGTAAGTTGTGACAGTACAGAATGCCAAGTAGAGCAAATCGATCTGCTTGCTTGCATGGTAAACTGTGATGTCGGACTACGGATAATCCACCGATCTGGCCTGTTATACACATATCCCACTGAAGGCTGGAATGCGTCTGAAATACGAAGGAAGAAAGAAGACACTTGCGACACTGTGGAGCTATGAATGTGTGGCTGTCTTAACCCCGCCAGCCTAAGCAGAGTCGGCAAACGAATTCGGGGTAGACATTGAACAACAAACTACCGCTACCATCACCCCTGGCAGGTGTTTAAGTTTGATGTCATCATGCTGTGCACCACTCGGAATGTTTTCATTCACAATGTGCCATCTGAGATGACACTTTGACCTGTAACGTAATTACGCATCTAGCCGCATCGTGGTCATCACAATTATCGTCCCAGTTCGCTATAAAAAGTCACGCCAACCGTTAACTTGGCTTGACGAATCTTTTATGCCAAAAGCGAAACAGCGCCTACTAGCAATACCAACCGGTTATTTTCAAACCCTTCTGAAATCAATCGATCGCTGGTTTACTATCAGCGAACGGTCTGCAGCACTGCAATTACACAAATATCCGACCAACACATTGATATGCTATAGGAAGTAAAAATTTGGGCCGGACCATCCTGGACACCCTATTCTGATATGATTGCTACCACAGGTCCGGAGTAGATTCATGGAAAGCGTTGGATCATGACCGAATTCAGTGGTTAAATTGTTCCTGAATAAAAAATCATCCGCCTAAGATATGAGAATACGGTTTCCGCAAAGGAAGAGAATATACGACTAATTTCGTCCGTTTTTGGATTCTATGAGGAGAAGCATCCGGGATGAAATCCAAACCAACGGCATCAGTTCACTTCAGAGCGAGAGTGAGTAGCTTAATGTAAACATAGCAACCCATCCCGTTCAAAGATTGCGGGTAACGAGATTGTCTTGTAAGCTGACGGCGTGGATTTGAGTCTGCGTGGGGACATGACGACCGTCGCAGTTTCCTAAGCCCACGTATAACTGGTGGCGGTTGCGCAGCAGCAAAACGTCGGTACTGCGTATCGGCGCACCGCTGAAGCCTTTACACGACCCAGTCAGTTAAAGTCACATAAATACCCTATCAGAAGTGGAGTCATTAGGTTGCACTACACTCGAAACAACTGTGGTTCACATCAACCAGTGGGCTGCGAGTTGCTGCAACGCCAATGAAGACCCAGAGTAATCGAACCAAACTCTTGACAACAGTACGAGATATCGAAATTTTTTAACAAATTTCCTTTTCTGAAGGAGCAATATGTGTGGAGACAACTGCAGAGTTGTCACACATAGCTGAGACCAATTGAGCAGCAGGAACCGTCACCCATGGAACCAAAGGGGATCAAGTATAGTGTGCCGTTAAGCGAACGAAACTGGTCGCGTTTGATTAGCTGAGGCATCCATCAATCAGAATCCGGCGACAACTGGAAGAATGCCGCAAGTAGGGGGTTCCAAATTTCATAATCAGTACGCCGTTCTTTCGGAGTCTTAAATGCCAAGATCTTTTGAAGCTGTTCTCAGCTTTCCTTCGGCCCCACTTAGAATATTTCATCCAGGCTTGCCTACCCCGTCTCGTTTGGCACAAAATGGAGCTCGAGAGGGTTTTATGAATAGGTACCAAGTTGGTCGAGGGGTTACGGGGTAAACATACCCCGAGCGTCAAAGCATTACCGATGGCTTCGAGACCTGATCCCCACTTACCGAATATTAACTAAGAAGGTTGGACCGGACTTGAGCTGGCTATTTAGCCCGGATAGGTCGCCTTGTCTCCGCAGTCATCCCAAGAAACTAAACAAGCCACGCTCCGACCGGAGCAGGGCGGAAACTCGGTTATCGCGTAGTTATAGAGCGCTAAAGCTCGCTTCCAGAAAATGTAATCAGTGAACCTACGGTTAAGAGTTTTGAGCGCCAGTTAGACACTCGTTGGGTGGCAACGCGAAATCATTCCCTTCTTCTGATCATATCCACCCTCTCACTTTATTACATTTGCTGTGCTCCTATTCACTCGTTGGCATTATCCTTTATTTAAATGACCATTTTCTCCCTATAACTTTCTTACTTCACGTGATCGACACAGCGGGGACTGCTATTGCAGGGGTGGGCAGTAATTAATTAAACAGGGTATAATTCGGTTGTTTCGTTTTAAATCCATCAAGAGCTCGGAGCAACTAAATATCTCCTGGCGCAACGACCCGGACAAGAAAGAACAGTCAAGGAACTTTCCTATCGTTTCAGTCCCATCTGAACTTGAACTTCGAGAGATGGAGTATGCAAGGACCACACAGTTGATGTCAGCTGTGCAAAAGCTGTAAAATCCATACGTTTGCATATTCCGTTGTAAAGGCAGGTCGTTCACAGGTTGCGATACAAGTTACTGCCAGTGGTGCATTGTCTTGACCAGAAATGGGCTTGGGAGAATACAGAACGGGGATAGTGGATGGAGCACATGTTTCTTATATGGGAAGACAGTACAACAGCACACACATATGGAACGACGAACACGACGGAAAAGTATTCATACAATCTAAAATCTTCAAGGCATGTGGTTGTAATCTTTATTCCACGGTCAACTTAAGCTCATACTGGGAAACAATTTGGGTAACACACTCGAAAATGGGCCAGAGAACGACTAATAAACAGCATAATAGCTCACCCGACCATGGACCTGTTTGGATACAGTGCTTCCGGAAGTGTCTAGAATAGCATCTACCACTTCAATTAAATCGAAGTACACCTCGTTGCTTGTGTACTTCAGACCGGTTCTTCTCCATCGCACATTAGAAAGTTGGCAGGCCGGAAGAATGGAACCAACTGCCGAATGTTTACCCGCCACTGCATCCGTTAGGGATCGAAACAGATTGCCAGGTTTTATCAAATCTTTCAAGATGTTCGACTCAGTGGTCAGCGGGAAACCTAGTTCAACCATTTCGTCGATAATCTAGAGGAATATAAAATGCACATGAAGTGTACCTCGTAAATTGAAACCAGGTTTTCTTTGATACTCAACTCATTCACAGTTGCAAAATATTCGGTGATTATTTCCGTCAAACGATTTAAAAACTCTATAACGAAGAGAGGGGGAGCTAATTGGCTCAGATAGCAAAATGTCATAATTACTTTCATTTGCGCATACCGCAACAAAAAGCAAATTTTTGTTGCATAATCGAATAAATACTCCTTGGCGAAGCTCCGTGGCAACCAGGATTCTGTTAGAAGTCACTTGTAGAGACGCATCGAAAACATCTCTTAAATTTGGCAACAAAGAAATCCCTCCCCAATGTTTTTCCAAAAGCACATCGCTATAAAACGTACTAACTGAATTGTGCAAATACGACCAACCTTGTAGTAGTGAGTATAAAAATGCTCTGAATCATTGAAATATAGGATCAAACAGGACAGTTAAAGGGAGTTGAGTGGTCATTTTGTGAGGACGAAATATTGCTTTGGAATGCGGACCCAGTAATTGACCCTAACACATGGGTATCAGCCTGTAAGAAAAGAAATAAGTGATTATTAAACAAGAGAGGAGGAGGAACGTTGACTAGGGATTTCGGTAAAAATCCGTCATTTAATCGTAAGCAAAATGCATCAGCTATCTTTCTAATAAGTCTTCGAGTATAGGAGAAATTTTGATGACAAAAAGCGCAGCAATGTCTCCGTGCTGAACTACAAAGCGCCCATGGAGTGTAGTGTGGTTTAATATGATTTTAGATGTTTCCGCTGACAGTAGGGATAACCAACACAGCCACTCGGGTCACGATTCAGCCACTTGCCCAAATCAGAAGACATAGACCCCTGGCAGAAATTGGATGGAGCACCCGGAAGACAGTGTGTACAGCCAAAATATGGGATCATGAGAAAAATCATGAGAATGACCTAACTGAGTTTCTGTAATCTGGCAACTACTAGATGCGTAACAACTCGCCTGTTGGCTGTTCAAGTAATGCTCTTACTGGAGGGCAAGGTATGTCATTCTCATTGGTCTACTTCAAGGTAAAAAGATGCCAATAGCTCACTCTCATTGGTTAGCCAATTAGCTTCAACGGACGGGCGATCAATCTTCTCCGGGATGCATTGGAGTGAGCTGGCTTCAAGGGCTACTATGGACAGACTGCCTTCCACCAGAAATGTGCGATCGAGTCCATCATCAATGGCCTGAAATAATTCCCGATGCGCGACAAGAGTACAGCAGATTTACAGGTTAAGTTTCAGCCAACATTCGCCCCCACCCCGGATTACCAGGAATAGTTGTGCCCACAAATTTTGTGCAAACGAACCTCTCGGTCGTTATTCTCTGATGTACAGCCCCAGGCCGTCGTAATGGCAGTCGGCTCTTCTGTAGCAAGCTTCACCACCCCATACCTAATATTACATTTCACATTTGTTCAATTCCACAATTTCCTCAACCAGCACTGCTATCCGAGATTAGACGCCTGCCTCGCAACTTCTACAACACGAATTCGAGTCCTACACATGCTTGTGTTTCGCCACACAGGAAGTATACCAGCCCCAGTACAACGACTTGGTGTGTTTACTGGAGTAGAATCGCCAACCCTTTTAAGCCATACCCGGTAGACTCTCATCGACCGTACGCCTCTATGTGCATTGTTTTCGCCAGAGTTCAGCTCATTTAAACATCCATGACTCCAGCACTAAAGCGTAACAGATCTAGTTGTCACTACGCGTGTTGTCACCATTGAATAATTAACCCTGGGGAAGAAATGAGGCAGGAAAGAGAAAAAGAGTGAGAAAGAAGAGTGTAAGTAAAATTAGTCGGATTAAAATGTAAGCAGAAAGGAGCAAGACGCCGAATCCAGGAAAGACAAGGACTCCGCGACTGGGCCACGTCAGGTAAAATTTCCAACCATTAATGTGCCCCGTTCCGAGGGCCAGAAGCAAGAAGACGGCTGGTACAAGTCTGACTAAATATCTTGGTCAGTTTCCGCATACCTGTCGCCATGTCATCAACTGACCGTCTCGCCCAAAGTCGTACATCAATAGCAAGTGATGTGCGCCGAGGAAGACAGTCAGGGTGCATAAGGGAGATATGACCTAGCCAGCATAAACGGTTCAACTTAATTAGACCGGCGGGCGGGACACAAGACCTACCCACGAACACTAACTGGTGAGCTTCACTAGTGTTCACTTCCACAATGCCTCGACAAGTTAGGGTATGAACCAGGAACACGTCAACTAGTGTCTCGAGGAAAAAAAGCAATTTGATGGTCGTGAAATAAGAAAAAAAGAAGAAACATTACGCCTTAGTTTTTGTTATACCTCGGCTGGTTGCGCACTTGCGTTGTAATCCTGAGGTCGCCGGGTCGAATCCGCGTCGGTGCGGGAGATCTCGCGGTATATCCAGTCCTCGCGGGACTCGTGGTCGCGTGGCAGCGAAGTGTCGGTACGGTGTGCTGGTGTACTGCTGTTACCTGGGGGCTAAGGAGAGTGGAAGACAAACGTCGAACCTAAGTCATGTAAACCATTGTCTCTAAGAAAACTGGTGACTTAAACTGAGTGGAGGAAACAACAGAGACTAAGCTAGGTTAAGGACTATAAAAGACATCGACCAAGCAGGCACACTTTCCCAACAACAAGAAAACCGGCAACACAAGCAGAAGTCCATCAGTGAACCGATCTCCCTATATTGTTAACCGAGAACTAATAGAGGGTCTCACTATTCTCCCTGTGACGTTCGAAATGGTGCGGAACACATCAGTGCGATATTTCATTTTGCGGAAAGCGGCCGAATCTCATATTACAAAGTGGCTGAGGGACAATCTAGCCGAAGAAGTACAAATTGTTTCCGGAGGAAAAATTAGCTGTCAATCGTTAACGGGTGTTTACTTTCAACGGAAAGAAATGTCATTCTCATGGACCTACGTCAAAGAGTACTTCCAAAATTTCACCGAGATATTCTTCATTAAACACGCAAGCGGTGCAACAATTAATATTCTGAGAAGCCTTAGTATCCAGCACGCAGTACAGGAAAGCCTAGTGACCGACAACAGCACACAATGCACCAATTCCCAGTCTAACGATTACTGATAAAGCACTGCATCACGAAACTACGCTAGCCGCCATCTCACTTCAGTGAAAATGAACAGGCGCAGCGCTATTAAAGATGAAAGGGAGGAACCCTACCAGATAAACCAACACTTTCCTTCATCATGGTGAGATGACATTACCGTGGTGCGATGGTTTGCGTGCCTCACTCAGTACTCCATTGACCTGTGCTGGGTAGTGTTTTTCGCATCTTCAGAGTCACTCATACCAGAATGGTCAATGGTTAGAGGCCAGACAATCTCAGCCTCCTAATCTTCCAAATTAGCGGTTGGAGTAAGGATAGCTCCTAATTCCTTAAGGCGGACTCCTTGTAGTTCCCTGCTCAACCCACTGCCTTGTGGTCAGATTTTTGAACCAAAGTCTTTGGTCGAGAATCCTAATCATCTAGGCCTGGGCAACCAGACAGTATCCTGACCGCACAACATAACCATGCATCTCGCTCCACATGATTTCTTGATGCTGACTTGCAGAAGATAATTAACAGCGCTCTGTCTACTGATTCGAGCAGATTGGACAGAGGTTTGGAAGCCCCACGCAAGCCTTCCCGTCGTCGTGTACTCCTCTCATCCGTTTTCACCCCTATCGCACCGTCCCAACTACTCTTTTATCCTTCTGTTAAAAAAACTTCAAATGTTTGACAATCCTCCACTTACCTTTAATAGGCGTTCAGCTTCAAGTTTCAACACGCAAACGCAGAGCGTCACGCTTACCCTGGCGCCAAACATGTGTGCAACTAAGCAGTGAAACCCAGTTCATCGGCTTCTATTTAGAGCCCTCGATCCTCCCTTAGATTGGCATACTTCCATGTACGCACACCGTTACAGATTTGAGAGCTGAATGAGGATCATCTGATCCCACGGGCTTATTCAACGTCGGCAGTCCGATCTTATGTTCAACTTCTTGGCGGCAGGGCGGATCCAAAGGGACAGCCCATGGAGTAGGGCGATCAGCAGCCGGCTAGAAATCTGACAATTGTAGCGGATTAAATTGCCTTTCAAAGTGCTCAGCCCAACGCTCCAAGCGTTTTGATAAGTTGTGGATAGGCTGTCCACCTTTATCACATATAGTTTCACTAATAACGCACCTTGCTTATATATATATATATATATATATATTCAACAATATATGAATTACAATATAATTGGCTGAGTGCCACAACACATAAGAATAAAAAAGGATAGCATGAAAGGGGAAACATATGGTAGGGTGATAGAGTCACAGAGTAAATGCGCTATTGTGTACGGTCCTTGGCCATATCCTCCAGCGTTTGCAACCAGGTGTGCTCGGGGTCCTTTGGTCCCCCACCCGGGAGTCGGGAACGCCAGACAACAGCCAGCTTTAACGTTTACGCCTTAACACATTGGATCCAAGCTTTACACTGCCCTCCTTTTCGTCGCTTCCAAGTCACGCCTGGGCTCCTAAATAGGGCTCGTCGTGATAGCCGCTGGGTAGGCATGCGAAGTAAATGGCCAATCCAGAAAAGCCTTCGCAGTGAAATGATGCTATCAAACGATCGGCGGAGTTCGTTAGAACTGAAGACTGGCCGGCGGACTTCCTCATTACTGATGTGATGCTGCCATCGAACACCAGCAATGCTTTGCACATAGCTGTGATCGAAGACAGATATCCGCTGAACATCGCTTTTGCGAAAGGCCCAAGTCTCACAGTCGTACAGCAGAAGCGCTCGTACTGTAGCATTGTAGACTCGTCCCTTGAGAGCGAGTCTGAGCCACAGGTGACGAAGGTTAGCGAAAGCGACTCTAGTCTTAGGGACATGCAGGGAGATCTCATTTGTCAAACCGCCAATACTAAAACAACTCCCAAGGTGTGGGCGCCCTGCCAGTATCCTAGTCCATCCTCTTCGGAGGTTAGGGAGTGGTCGATGGCCCTCTTCCCGTAAAATCTAGCCATGGGAGACAACAGGTTTACGGGTTATAAGCTCACAGCTCGATTGGCGTAGAGCACGGGTGCCACGCATTGTCTCTGACGGTGGGAGGGCACCTCCGGGTGTTCAATGGTTTGCTTCTGCCTGCCTCAAGCCAAGCAGCCCCTGGTCAAATTGGTGCAAACCCGCCAAAACCCACCTGCGTCTGGCCGTGGTCGCAGGTGCGTATCCTACTATGGTCACAAAACATATATGCATCGTTCCAGTACCTCCAAGGCTGCGTGTGACGGCCGTCAAGCAGACCCCAATCTGTCTCTGCAATCACATTACCGAACTGGATCTGCTCCCCACTGCCTTGTGGGTCAGGTTACTGAACCAAAGGCTCCGGACCGAGTCCCTCAAGCAAACATCCAAATCACCCACTGCCTTGTGGGTCAGGCTATTGAGCCAACGGCTCCGGATCGAGTCCGTCAAGCAAACCTCCGAAGCACAACGATCACATCGCGTGCGATTGCCCACCAATGCAATCGTATGCCTGCG